GGGGGGGGGGGGGGGGGGGGGGGGGGGGGGGGGGGGGGGGGGGGGGGGGGGGGGGGGGGGGGGGGGGGGGGGGGGGGGCGCTCGTGGCTAACACAAGTCAAGAGATAAGCCCAGATCAGCTTCTGCGTTATTCGTTTATCAGTGGAGGGTGGTTTGGAAACGCTCGCCACAAACACGACCCGCACACATCTCCTTCCGTGTCACTGATCTGTCCACAAAGGGGGAACACTAGAACGCACGTCACTTAGACAAATCAAGAGCTAAGGCGCACATATCTCACTAGTTTTATCTAGGAACAAGTAACACTAACGCTATCACGCACGTCACGAAGACATATCAAGAGATACTGCAGGCGCCCCACGGCCCATACCATGCCATCTCTCTTGCGGAACAGCAGCTAGTTGCAAAACCTACGTGCACTCCACGGACAGCAGTGCGTTACCTCCGTGCTATCCTCCTCCGCCTTCTTGGCAGCCCAGTCGTCGATCTCCTTGGTGAGGACCGCCATCCTCTCCTCGGACATGAGAACTTTCAGGTTCTCGCCGATCTCGAGAACCTGGTCATCCGTTTCAGAGGCACACGCGGGGGCGCGTGCATATGGCGCCGCGGGCAACGGGGAGCGAGAACACCGTTCGAGGGGGTACGAGCATCAGCAACAGCAGCAGTAGCAGGAGGGAATCGGCCTTTAGTAGAATAGTTCGCGCTATTCGGGGGGCTCTCAGTCTGTACTTGCCGTGTATGCTAGCACCTACAATAACCAATCCCTTGGGAGACCGAGCCTTGAGAGAGGAGGCATGAAACGTTCGCTTCGTATTCTTTGGAAAACAGCAAAACTAAATAGCAAGCTTCGTGTTAGGTTGCCTATAGGTTAGGCTCTGCTTTTTCACTCGATATTGACCGGTCACCATCGAATTTACCTCTTGGGGATCCTGGCACATGCGGTCGCCTTCTGCGTGGCCTAAACAAAGAGCAACCCTACTCTCTTGAACAAAACGTAACCAAAGGGAGGGAAAAGAAGACAGCAAATAAACACCGAACCTCCTTCGCGAGGGTATCAATCATCGTTCGTGAAATAGAGAGGATCTCCGTCTAAAGGATATTGATCATCGTTCGTGAAAAAGAGAAGAACTAAGCATCGTATGTGAAATAGAGAGGGAGGTTTCGTATCCCTCAACCCCAACCCGTATCACCTGCTAAAACCAACATGGATGATATCCTCGGGAAGGCTTCTGCGAAACCCTTACACACCAACAGCACCCCAAACACAGCAAACCAAACTAGCCAGTGAGAGCCGTTACCATCCCTTCTGTGCACGTCATTGCTCAAGGAGGCAGTAGTGAGGGACCGCAGGTTAAGAAAAAATCGTTAAAAGAAAACAATCGCTCTTATGTTGAAAAGAAAACAATGGGGAAAGACGGACAGGTATCTCAGCCGAGAATCCTACACTAAACTCAATACAATTGCATTAGCCTACACTAAACTCAATACAATTGCAATAGCCTACGCCAAAGTCAAAACAAATGCGATAGCCTACACCAAAGTCAATACAATTGCAATAACCTACACTAAGCTCAACACAAGTGCAATACCCTACACAAAACTCAATGCAGTTGCAATAATCGGTAATCGACGGTTGTAACGAACTCTTTTGAGCCTTGACCAACCCGATCTTGACGTTTATTGTCTGCGCCCCAGCACTGCTGTATTGACGCCTATCATAGAATGGTATATATATATCTCACCATCGACCTTAGGTCTTGATCCATGCAGTTGTCTCCCATCGCCTCGTAGTAGTCCACGATGTTCGTGGCGGTACGCTTGAAGCCCCGGATGTACATGGACGGGAGCGTCGAGATGGTGATGTTGAGGAGCGCGAGCCGCTCTTCCGGCTCCTTCATCCGAAGCACGTGGGAAATCAGCTGTGCACCGGGGGGAAGGGGGTGCGGAGTTCGGGGTGTTGTAGGATATGGGTATCACGATGGGGTCCTCAAAGTGACAGGCACCGTAGGTGACATGAGGTAAAATATCAACCCCCCCCAGTACCGGTTTTCGAAGCTCGATACCTCGGGAGCACCAGCAGCGACGGTGACGAAATTGGCGTTAGGCGTTGGAACCGTCTCGTCGAGAGCATTTTCTCAAAAGTGTCTTTTGAAATCGGAATGCTCCTCGTCGGGGAGAAATCGAGCTTTGAAAATCAGTCCACGGGCTGTGGTATCTTAAGCAACCTACGGTATTCGTTGTGGGGGCAGACTTCGGAGGGTAGTGGGAAAGGGAAATGTGGAGAGGTTCTCAAAACAACAAGCCTTCGTATGAGAGCAAGGGGGGCGCAAACTTTGGAGGGTTGTAGGGTATGGGAAACATGAAGAGGTTCTCATAACTACAGGTAATTGTATGGCACAAGGGGGGGGGGGGGGGGGGGGGGGGGGGGG